TACCTAAATTAATAACCCTATGCTGGGCCCAAAATATATATTGGGAGGTTATATAATTGTTTTCTTTCTTTAATTATCCATCCTTTTTATTACCAAAATTAATAACCCTTGGCTGGGGCCCAAATATACATTGGGAGGTTAGGATAATTATTCGAAAACCATGTTCTCCTCTGTCTTCAACCACCACACCATGCCGATTTTATTTATCATATTTTTTTAATAAAAAAGGTAGTTTAATTTTTTTTTTTCAAGTTCAATTTAAAATATAGTATTAAAGTTTTTCTCTTTTTTCCCTATTAATAATTATTCTACCCTTAAAAAAACACATCTAAACTTCCCAATTTTAATAGAGATAAATATAAATTTTCAATAGTAGTAATTGTTCTTTTAAGAATTTTATTAATTTTTTTTATAATAATGTCAAATAAAATTGGGACAAATAAAATTAATATAAAAATAATTATTTTAAAATTTGATCATAAGTCAATGTTATATGGATATCAAGTCTGCAAAAATATTTAGAAGTAAAAGACTGTAATTTTACAAGTTTATAAATCATGGATCCCTTACATAAAAACAACTAATAATACACTTATACACATATATTTAGGTTCTAGGTTCAACTCTTGACACAATTAAAATTATTTTTAATCACTCAATTTGTTCCTAGTATCTTAATTCTTTTAATAATTTTGTAACTATTCTTGATTCATAAAAATTACATCCTTCAGCTGAAAAATGCAAGAAATATATTTTTTTTTTATAAAAAAAATGATAGAGGCTAGGATGATTAATGAGAAATTAGATAAATAGAAATATGATGAAAGGACCCCAACCCGATATGATGAAGTGTGGTGGGGTGTCTTCATTAATTAAGGGTGAGTTTTACTCTACATATTATTATTATTATTTTATGTGAACTCATTACTACGGGCAACAAAATCGTTGGAACTTTTATTACGGGATCGTATTTTATGTTTTTCTTTTGTTTTTAAATTACCTTGCAGTAGTATTTTTTTATTTTTTTGATAATTAAGGATTGAGAGAATGATTCATACTCATGATAAGGACCACCTTATAAATTGAGTTGCTATTTTAAAAGAAGAAAAATTATGTAACACAATGAGGATATTTTAATTTGATATATTTATATATTATATTATTTAAACTTAGCAATGTTTATTTTTATTAAAAAAATTAGTATAAAACTCCATATAGATCATGGCATCAATTCAGCTGAAACTAGAAAATTACAATGTTTAAGTGTGTTAGAAAATCAAGTTTAGCTTTTCCTTTGACCAAAGTTTATTTTCATTGACCCATTTTTCAAAGGGTGTCCTAACAGCAGAAAATACAAAAAAAAAAAAAAAAGTTTTTAAAAATAAATTTTCAGCAAATCAAACTACCAAGGGGGTGTTTGATTAGCACATCACTTCCTCTTTAAATTTTTTTAACTTTTTTTTTATTACTTATATTTTTATATATTAATATTATAATAGAATGAGAATAAAAGTTATATTTTTAATTTTTATTTTTAATAATATAATTTTCAATCCATATATTTTTTTTCACACTTTTTTAAAGAAAAAGTTTCCTCATAATTTTTTCTATATAAAACTTACTAAATAATTTTTTTATCAATTTTTTCTATATTGATTTCTTACTAAATACAAAATAATTAATAATTTAATAAAATTTAGATATAAAATTTATCAACTTTTCATATAATTTTTTTTCAAACTATTTTTTTAACAAAAAGTTTTTTTAATAAATTTAGCCTTCTAATCAAATCCATCCTTAAGTGCATTGAATTGTTAAAAAGAAAGGGAAAATTCAAGTACAAGTTTGCAAATCACTATTGTGAAATTAAAATCATGGTGTTTGCTTCTTATGGTACAATGGTTTTTTTATATATAGATATATATTTTTTACGTAGCCAATTTATTACAACTAAAGGGGAAGGATCATTACCTATTTTCAAAAAAAAAAAAACTAAAGGGGAAGGAGCTGCTGGGGCTTGAACACACAAGCCCCACTGGTGAATTCCACAAAAGGCCATGGGCCATTGAACCTTTGGTACAATGGTGTTTGACAACTAGTTCAGAGACCATTTTGGTTTTTTAAGCTTTCTTTTCTTATGCAGCTTTATCATCATTCGTACACAATAGCATGCAGCGGGTCTTTAATCGGCCAAAAAACAAGGTTAAATATCTTTTTTGGTCCCTCCACTATAGAAAAAAATCCCATTTTAGTTCCTAAACCTAAAAAATCTCCTTTTTGATCCTTATTGTTTAAAATTCGGCTCATTTTTAGTCCTTCTATTAGTTAAATGACAGCATGGCACAATAATCTGTTAAATGTCTTTTTTTTTTTTTCTTTTTAATGGTGATATATGATTACACATTGCAAAATTGATAAGTTGGCAATCAAATTTATTTTCTATGTAATCAATAGGTTCTAAAATAATTAAAAGAAAAAAAATCATTTTTTTCCCTTTGTCTTTTCATTTCCCATTTCTATCCTCATCTTCTTCCTAAGCTCAAATCCCTGATCCTCTCTACTTTTTCCTGAACTTAATCCCCTTGTCATCCATTGATTTCTTCTTCTTCGCCAAACCTTCCTCCATCAAAGCCCTCAAATCTTCATCTCAATTAAAGCTCAAATCTTCACTAATTTGCCCCAATTTTCTTCCCCCTTTTGTCTTATCCTCTCCTTTCCTTCCATTATCATCTCTTTTTTTTTTAAAAAAAAAAAACCTTTGCTAGGTTCATCGCAACCCAGGTGTGACTTGGGTTCATCGTGCACGAGTTCATCTTAGGTTCGCGACAAACCCAGAGCACACCTGGGTGGGTTTGTCCTGGGTTCTTCATGAACCCAGGATGAACCCAAGCGCAAGCTAGGTTCTCAATCTCTGCCAAAAAAAAAAAAAGCATGTTCTTCTCAAACAAACAACTCTAGAAACATCCAACAACAGAATCAGAAATGAACCCAACAGCAGCAAAGAATTCAGGAAATTAAAACATCATAAGACACACACATGAAAGCAAACTCAAATTTGTAAATTTTATTTATGGGTTCATAAACTTAGTACAATAAAAATCTCATTCAAACAGCCAAATCAAGCAAAATATTCCAAGATCTACAAGAAACAGGATCTTAAACACATGGGGCCAATTTCAAGGGGCCGA